CAGAAGCAGAAAGCGCTCTTGCTGTTCCTGCTCCAAAAGGCTCCTTCTGGGCTGGTCCCTGGTCTCCGACGAGGATGGGATTTGAACCCATGCGTGCAGAGCCCAATGGATTAGCAGTCCATCGCCTTCACCCCTCGGCCACCTCGTCAGCCGCTGGGGCTGCTGCCACCACTGCCAGAACCACCTTGGCTAGATGTAGGACCTCCTGGCCATGCTGTCTCAGAGGGTCAGACACATTCTCCATGGAGTCATTCATGGCTGCTCATGAGGAATGGAGAATTTTCTTTCTTTTCAAGGACACTTTGGTCCTGATCACCTCTCCAGCGTGGCTCACAGAATCACACAGAAGCACAGAATGTTTGAGGTTGGAAGGGACCTCTAGAGATCATCTAGCCCATCAGTCTAGGGACACCTAGAGCAATGGCACAGGGTCCTATCCAGGCAGGTTTTGAAGATCTCCAAAGGAGTCCACAATCTCTCTGGGTAGCCTATTCCAGTGCTTTATCACCATCTTCCTCACATGGAGATGGAACTTCCTGTGTTCTCATTTATACCCATTACCCCTTGTCCTGTCACTGGCCATCACCAAGAAGAATTTGGTCCCATCTTCTTTACATTCTCCTCTCAGGTATTTACACATATCAGGTAAGTTCCCTTCTCATTCTTCTCTTCTCCAGGTTAAACAGGCCCAGCTCACCTAGTCTTTACTCGTATGACCGTATGATAGATGCTCCAGTCCTTTAATCATCTTCACTGCTCCATGCTGGACCCTCTCTAGGCTGATCCTATCTCACAGCTCATTTGGCTATTCTTTCCCTTTCTTTCTGTCTGCTGTCGTGTAGCCAGGTGGCCCTACCAAAGAAAAAGTGGTTCTGTGGTGTAATGGGCAGCACTCTGGACTTTGAATCCAGTGATCTGAGTTCAAGTCTCAGCAGAACCTCAGGGGATGCTTTCCTTTTCTCCGGGAAATAAAACATTCAGAAGAGACAGGAAAACATCTCCCATCCTTTGTATGTAATACCTCCCATGCTAAACTTCACCTGGACTTCCCAGGAAAGCAAAACGTTTCCAATGAACTCCAAAATTCATACCTCACCAAGCTCTGCTCCTCTTGTCCTTCTGCGTTTTCAAAAGGGGTTGTCTTTCCATTCTGAAAGAATCTCAAGATTTGTGACACTGAGCACTAAGGATCCCACAGTCAAGCTGAAGTTCACACATCAGTCATTTACAGCACAAAGTAATCAAGAAAGTGTGAGCAGGAACCAAAATAGGATGCCAAAAGTAAGATCTAAGAGCTCTTCTACAGATTTTGGATAGCCATGTTATCAAATAGCAGTAAAGCCTGGTGCTGCATCCCTGAACATAGTGAAGAAATGAGAGAATGCAGATTGTTAATATGGAAAGAAATTAAGTATCTTAGTCCATAAATTTTAGTTCACCTTCTTGGAAGAGAACATGCCTAAACTTTGGAGCCATCCCTCAGGGCATGGCCATGATGTCCTAAAGAACCAAGCACGTAGCTCTCAGCTTGAAATGAGAGGCATGAGCCAGCATGTTGTTGTTTCCAGTCAGGATTTATTCTTATGCTCTCTCCCTGTGCTTTAGCTTATATTCTCCACTATATTCATAGTGTTCATATTCACCTTGGGAACTAAAGAGGGAAGAGTACACTCAGCTGCAAGAGGGGGTTGGTAGTTTTTGTCTTTTTCACCAGTGTGTGTTGGGGACTGAGAAGCAGCTCTGCGGAGAAGGACCTGGGGTCCTGGTGGACAAGCAGACCTTGAGCTAGCAATGTACCCGTGTGGCCAAGAAGACCAATGGTATGCTGAGATGCATTAGGAAGATCTGTGCCAGTAGGTCAGTAGAGAAAATCCTTCCCTTCTACTCAGGCCTAGTTAGGTGGTATCTGGAGTACTGTATTCAGTTGCCCAGGAAAGGAGACATGGAGCTGTTGGAGTGAGTCTGACAAAGGGCAACTAAATTGATAAAAGGATGGAGCATCTCTCATTTGAGAAAAGGCTAAGAGAGCTGAGACTCTTCAGCCTGGAGAAGAGAAGCCTTGGGGCAGGAGGGGAATCTTACCACTGTGTTTAAACATCTGAAGGGAGGGTGTAAAGAGGATGGGAACAGACTCTTCTCAGTGGTGCCCAGCAACAGCATGAGAGGCAACGGGCATAAACTAAAACACAGGAAGGCCCATACGGCAACCTTGGCCCAAATCACACAGAGGCCCCTGGGGGCCACCCAAAGGCCCATGGGGTCCCCAGCCCCATACGAATGGAGGCCCCTGGGAGCTGCATGAAGGCCCATAGGGCGCCCCAGTCCCGCATGCAAGGAGGCCCCAGGTGGGGCATGAAGGCCTGTACGGTCCCCATGGCACCATGCACACGGAGGCACCATGAAGGCTCACACTGAGCCCCTTTCTCGTGCGCACAGAGGGCCCGGGTGGCCAAACCAAGGCACGTATGGCCTCGCTGGCCCCATGGGCACGGAGGCCCCAAAGGGCCGCACAAAGACGCATAGGATCCCCCCAGCCCCATGCACACTTAGCCCCCAGCAGGACACACGAAGGCCCATAGGGCTGCCCCATCCCCATGCGCATGGAGGTCCCGAGGTATCACACGAAGGCTTGTAGGGCCTCCCCGCATCCGGGAGCAGGGAGGCCCCAGGGAGCCGCACAAAGCCCCACAGAGCACCCCCGGGTCCTGTGCACAGGCCCTGCAGGGCCCTCACAAAGGCAGCCTGGCTTTGTGGGATGAGCAAAATTATTTTCTATCCACATGAGCTGTTCTCCCCTCTCTCCTAAGGGCTTTTAGCTGATACTGCCTGGGAAAGCCACCATAGCCCAAACTATCAGCAGCAGAGGTTTTTTCTCATTCCTTCCTCCATCAGGACTGGGGCCTGGCCCTGTGTTTTCATATAGCTTGGCTGGGATTTGGTGTCTGGTCTCCAAAAAAAAAGTTGTTCACCCACCAGCAAGCTCAGCATGGTCATATAGGTCTCATTACCTTCCTATCAGGGGATGGTGCTCCAAGCTAAAGATGTGGAGCCAAGCTATGAGAAAAACCAAGCTTCCCATTCTATATCTGTCCAGCCTTTATAGCCCTGCAGCTCTCAGCAGGTTGCCAGGGTTAGCCCATAGGGTCATGCAGGAATCAGCCCTGCCCTGCTCTGGCTTTTCTTCCTGGAACCAGCTGTTAGTAATGAGCATCCATCAGCACTGGGGCTGTCCCTTTTTCTGCTTCTTGGCCCTGCAGGATACATGAGGTTGCCTCCAGCCTTTCCCTGCCTGGACACCATGGGACAGAGCTGCAGGATTGCCATGGTCATTACTCCCCTTGACAGCAAGGTAAAGCTGCACTCATTTTTTAAAGTAATAGAATAGTCACAGGGTGACTCTTTTCCTGAAGTGCTGCTTAAATAGGTTTGGAGAACACTGTGAAAGTAAGGGACTGGTGATTCTGGTAATTAGGCAAGCAGTTAATCACATTGGATAATTTGTTCCCTGGCTGCAGGAGAGCAGTAACTGGTGTTTACCCAGAGCTGGGCACAGGCATTCGGAGGCAATTTGCTGGCTGAGCAGACTGGCTGCCTGAGAGGCTGTGTTGCCTCTTGCTTCCGCAGAGCTTGGCTGCAAGCAAGAAGGTCACAGGCTGAGAGGGGCTTTTGCAGGCTTTTCCCTCTTCTGTGCAAATTCTCTAGTGTTTGAGAGGTGGGGAGGGAATCTTGTGCTACAACCTTTCCTGCCTGAGATGTTCTGGGGCCTCTCTCCTTTACCACATCCTTTATCTGCCATTAAATCCTAGGGATGTGTCAGATTTGAGCTGTTGGGTTCTGCTGAAATCAGCTCCTAGGCTCACAGTTATTAGGAGGGCGCAGGCCTGCACATACATGAACACCAGGAGTTCAGAGGTGTCGTTTCCCTAAGTTAATATCCTGACTTTACATGTTTAAATAAGTGGAGCATAACCCTGGGCTGACTTGGGACAATCTCTAAAGAAACTATATCTTATCATACCAAGAGAGCACTGGGCTGCAGAACCATTGGGCCCTCATCTCAGAGCAGAGGGTACCTCTCAGCAGCTGCATTTGGGCTGGAAAGGACAAAAGGACAAGTGCAGGAGGTGATGAAGGCAGAAGAGTTCTGAGACAGGAATGGACCACCCAGACTGTCTTGCATTGCCCTTCAAATGTGCCAAGCCAAACAACACCAAGCTTTCTCAACAAACGACAAGCCTTTATTTTGTATTTTTTTCCTATACTGGAAGGGGAAAAAATGCATATGTCAAAACTACATCAAAAGTTAGTGATAATTCTGCAAGCATTTGAACAGCAAAAACATGTGCAAGCCAATAAAGCAAAGGAAATGAGATTATATCTGGACCGATGATGGAAAACCAGTGTTTCCACAAGTTTTCAATTGGTGCTTTATGCTAACTGGATCTTTTGGCTTCTCAGTCCTAGCTAAGGCGCAAATTAAGATACTACAGCTTGTCTTCAGCTTGTGAGAAAGCAGAACATCAAACAACTTGTCTGAGGCTGGCAACCCTCCTCATTGTCAACAATAGCAGTTGGCTGAACAGAGAAGCACTCCCATACCCGTGGAGTGGAGCTCCAGCACGCCCTGGTGTCAGGAGCTGCCACTGACAGATCTGCCGCAGGGCCTGGGGATGCTACAGAGAAATAACTATACATCACCTTAATTCACTGGCTAATTGAAAGGAAAGTTGCTCTCCCCTGTCATTTCCAGCTTGGCATTTTATGCAGACAAATTATATTCTATCCCCCATTTGGACAGGCTCCCTTCAAAACTCTCTGCTGGCCACAGCCTAGACAAACTTCCTCCCAGCAACAGGCTGAGAGTTTCTAAATACAGGGATGTTCCCTTTTGGGCTTCTCAGGAGAAGTGAGGTCCTAGGTCCCAGAGGGTCCCCTGCAAAGTGCACCCAAACAAATCTGCACCGCTACTCTGCAGAGTAAGTGCAAGGACAGACCTGTGTATTCTCATCTGCAGTGTCTCTGTAGGGCACATTGCTCTTCAGCATCCTGGGGGCTTTTCCAGAAGAAATATTGGTGATTGAGGGCTGCCTTGGCTGAGATGCGTCTGTTGGGGTCATACAGTAGCAATTGCTGCCAAGAGAAAAACCCAAGCGATTTAGCATTCTAAAAGTCGAATGCTGGATTGCACCTAGGCCCTGTCCTGCTGTATGTAACACTGAGAGAACTGAGGGAGTAGTTCTGCTGGACATGTGTGTGACTGTACCCCAGAGGATGGAATTTTGTGGATGGTCGTTTTGCTGAGGCTTGGTTATCATGGCAATGCACCTCATTCAGGCTGTTACACAGGCTGGAGATCTAAGCTGGGAATAGCTGTGTCTGCTCTTGTGTCACAGACCTCTGCATCCCTGCCTTATGCTTTTTCAGACAGCAGACCACCCATTAAAACTTTCCAATGAAAAGATTAAACCAAAGAGCCCGTGGCTTAAGGATCAAGAGGAACCCACAGGCCTAGACGGATCAGCTCCAAACATCCCTGTTGCCTGCTCAGCTTGAAAAGGTCCTCCCTGCCTGCAAGCCTTGTCCTGAACCCCTTGCTCACCATCAGTAAGTCTCGGCCATCCCGATCTAATTTGGGAACAATTTCCTTCATCTCCTTCCTTGTCCAGCGGGGAAAGTCTCCCTTGTAGTCAGGCAGCTGGGTCACCCCAGGCCAGGTTGCCTCAGTGGGAGTACCCAGGGTGCGGAAGATCCGGAAGAGCTGATCAATCTCGGAGTCCCCTGGAAAGAGGGCTTTCCTGGTCACCTAGGGCAAAGGACAGCTAGTTTCCACCTTTGCATCAGCTTTGGGCTCTAGTTCCCTTTAGGCTGTCTATTTCAGATGGTCTTTTATCCTTCTTCTGTCCCTAATCTCCTTGCAGTGGCTCTTGCAGGCTATCCCCCTCGCTTATATATTCTCCCGGGCTCTGCTGATCTGCAGATTGGGGATTTTGGTAAGTAGAAACACTCTTATCATGCTGCTAGGACAAGAAGAGCTATTGAAAGCAGAGTATGGGCTCCTGGGATACCAGCAGCTCGGAGCAGTAGCTGTGCTATGAAGTGCCAGTTCTCTGCAGTCCACTTGGGGGCAGCAGTGGTGGCAGATCCCTTTGAAAGCCATCAAAATGTCATAGCCAGAAGACTGATAATTACCCAACTTGCAAGGAGTGGCCTGACACTGCAGCCAACCCAAAACTGCAGCTGGATTTCAGATGCTCTTACACCTTCTGCCAAGTCCCTGCTGGTGATTGATAGACTTCTCTCTGAGTTAAGGATCAGCTAACCCTCAAGTGATATTTCCTGTGATACGGTTGTCTTATCTGTGATACACTCCCAGCTCAGGTTGTCTCAGGTTCTTTCCCTTCTTCCACACTCTCCATTGCACTTGCATCCTCCCAGCTCATTGAAGAGACCATAAAAAGCATCTTACCATCTCTGCAAAGATGCAGCCGATGCTCCAGATATCCACAGCTGTTGAATAGTATTTGCATCCCAGCAAGATTTCAGGGGCTCGGTACCACAAGGTGACCACCTGAGAAAGAAGATACAAATGAGACTGGTGTAGTTTCTCTGTCTGAACCTAGAGACATGAGGGCTCTCTTAGCTGTGTCCCTGTGTCCGGCACTATTCTTCTTTCACAGCATCATTCCAACCTTAAGACACCAACTGCAGTGACTAAACAAATCAGAGCAAATCTCAATCAAGAGACACCTTGGCAACAACAACAAGATGGGAATTAACATATCACCCTTCAACAGGACACCCTGGAATAAATAATCCCTCTTCAGAAAAGGTGGGGACCCAGCGTGTAGGTGGGCTGCGGTAGAAGCAGAGCCAGCCCACATCGTGTGGGCACCAAGTAAGCCCTTAGCTGCAGGCTGGGGTAAGGGCCTGTGTCTGGGCACAGCTGTGCCTCAGCTCTGGGTTGGTCACTGGTGATACATAGATTGTACATCCTGCTTTCAGGGGACTACAGTACCTCGTGAGTGTATGTGCGCAAAGGGACTCCAAAAGCTCTTGCTAGTCCAAAATCAGCTAGCTTAATGGCTCCTGCTTCATTAATGAGCAAATTCTGTGGCTTCAAGTCTCTGTGGATGACTCTGTGCGAGTGGCAGAAGCTCACACCTTGCAGCAGCTGGAAAAGGTAGTTCTGGGGAGAAAAGATATTTCAGATAAGGCTGCAATAAAACTACATGGAGGCTTGGATCATGTGAATCTACGCTCTGCACCATTTACAGACCCATGTGGGAAATAGGGTCTTGCTCTAATGTAGCACGAAGCTTATGAGGCAATATTCAGATATGCACTAACTGCTCGCCCTCTACCCTGGAGCAAGACTGCAGTCCAAGCAGAGACAGCCCCTTCTACCCCTCCGTCGCTCGGCAGGACATGCCTCAGCTAGTCTCGTATCAGCACTTTGTGCTGCAGCAAGCCAGGACAGAGAGCCTGGAAGCACCCAGGAAAAAAATGCATGGAGAAGTTGTGCGAAGAAGCTTTCCCAGATATATGTTTGGGATCTGAGGGTCTGGATGCATTTGGCCAAGGATGGATCTCCTCCTAATGCAGCTTTGTGCTGCCTCTGCCCAGCAAGGACACACAGTTCTTCCCTGGCCTGCAAGAGCAACTTCCATCCAGTACCTTGACCAAGGTTAGGGGAAGCTCTCCAGTCTGGGATGAGTCCATATACTTCTTCAGGTCCTGATTCAGGTACTCAAACACCAGGTACAGTTTCTTCTGGCTGTGCACAACATCCAGGAGCCTGCGGGGGAGATCCAGACGCTTCCTTGATGGTGGTAACCCATGGTAGCTGGGGTGCCGCCATCTCACAGGTCCTCACCCACGTGAGCCAAGCCAAAATGGTGCCATACTCTCCCCCTTACCTTACAATATTGGGGTGCTTGAGCTCCTTCAGCAGCGAGATCTCACGGATAGCAGTGCTGGGGACGCCCTCGGTCTCCCTGTGTCGGAGTGAACGGTGGGACATGTGCAAGGGCCAAGGTGAAACCAGGGGCTGGGCGGGGGGACAGGCCCCTCCCGCCATGGCTGCCTGCCCCAGCAGCGCCCGGCAAGGCCTGTGCGGCCCTTGCTCCTTGCGGCCGCCCCATTGTGGCGTTGTCCCCACTCACGAGTCCAGGCGGATCTTCTTGAGGGCCACCAGCTGCCCCGTGCGCTTGTTGCGGGCCTTGTAGACGACGCCGTAGGTGCCCTCGCCGATCTTCTCCACCTTCTGGAAGGCCTCCTGGAAGGCGTCCATTGTGCCGCCACTCGGCCTCGTAGCAGGGTGAGGGCAGAAAGGCTGGCTTTTGAGGGAAAAATAAACCCCGAAAAACAAACAGATGAGAGGGCCTCAGCAGCTGTCTGTCCTGGTCCCCTCCCCAGCTCAAGCACCTGTCCCTTGGCCTGAAGAAACTGCTCCCACCATAAAACAAATCCCAGAGTCAGGATGGGGGCAGCAGGTCCAGCTTGCCACGGTGGCCCCCAAGCTGCCCTCTTTCATCCCCTGGAGCCACTGTCCCCTCACCCTCCCTGGGCTTCTGAGCCCCCTGCAGCAGATGTGGCCCCTCTGCTCCATCATCCCCAAACTCCTCAGTTGCCTTTGGACTGCGACTGTCTCTGGACAAAATATCCTTCAGGAAACGCTGCTATTTTGACCCCTTGCGCTGGTGGGGCTGGTGATCTGTCCCCACTGCCTGCCTGGGCACCCTCGAGGCAAGGCGATGCCTCCCCAGGGTCCCGCTGCTGCCCTGGGTGCCACGCACTGTTCCTCCTGCCCTGGTTCCTCCACCCTAAACCCTATGGGAAAGGGGAGCTGGATGCTGCAGGGGCAAAGGGATGTCCAGCTGCAGGGGAAGGGGTCAGAGCTAGAAAAGCAAAACTCCCAGGGCAAAAATTGCAGCATGCCCTGAGCTGTTTGCTGGCAAGCACGGCTGCAGGATGTCCTAGCAAAGGGCTTGTAAACTGAAGTCGAGCAAAAGGACCACGGGTGAGTGCAGAGGGCAGGGAGCCAAGGACAGAGCTGCAGCTCTGTTTGGGCAGTGCCCAGTGCAAAGGGGATGTGGTGGGTTCCCTGATGCACGTTTGGGATCAAGACGTGCCACAGAAAAATGTCCTTTTTTTTTTTTTTAATTGATCTTGCGCAATTGTCGCTTGAATGTCAGTGCCCTTTGGTCACACTTTCGGAAGATGTCCTTGACGGGGGGGATTAATCATTGACTTGCCAGGCAGTGAAAGAAAAGGTTGAAAATAAGCATGAGTTGAAAATAAGCATCATGCAACAGCAGAATGATGGGGCCTGGGTCTGTCTTTTGCAGGAAGTGGGGTGCTGCACATCCCCATGGACAGGCAGGGCAACATGTGGCTCCTCTCTGTGCTTGTAGCATGACCCAAGAGGGGTTGATGCTGAGCCAGCAGCCTTCCCTAAGCGCTTCTGATTTTGTTCTCCTCTACCCAGGCATTTTTTTTCATGACCCTCGTAGGAACTTGGGATCTTGGATATTTCCAGCTCCAGGAAAAGGGATCTAACCTAACCATTTAAAATTTAAGGGAAGGTAGGAAGGCAGGAGAACAGACAGGAGAGGAGGTCTATGGATAAAACACACGACAAGCATCATCTCTTGCAAAAGCAGATTACAATCCTGCTTCCGGAGATGCAGCTTTAGACTTAAGACTGCACCGTGTGCTGCGAGATAGGGCTCTTGGCGACTGTATGAGGGAGAAATGTAAAGTTAAATGATGACTAAAAATTACAGCAAGTGCAGTAATGACTGAGCAATCTCAGGATCTTCAATCAAGTTGGTAGTATGGGACTTTGCCAATATCTGCTGCATTTTAATCTGCTTCTACATAGTGGATAGTTTCACTGCCTGCTTTCTGAACGCTTAACCAGGGAGTGTGAGTAAACAGAAAAGGTGACTGAACCCACCTCAGGCCCAACTCCTTCCAGGTTCAGGGACTCCTAGAAGTAAAATAGGTATGGCTTATTTTTATAGCATTTTATTCCCATCTCACCTTAGTAAATCCCTATTTATTTATTTATATATTTTGACAATTTAATTCAGTTGGGTGAACCTGGCAGCTTCCTCTCAAACAGGATGTTTTGCTCTGATGTAACACCACCTCCTCTTCTCAGAACTCCTTAAGTGCCCAGCACTTCTGTACACACCCAGTCTTTAGGAGGAAGAGTGCACTGCCTTACATTCACTTACATCATCCACGGTGCGAGGCCTAGTGCATTTGTCTGAGCAGCAAAGAGGGTTTTAATCATTTCGGATACATGTCTGCTCTGCCAAGAAAGCTCCCGGGCAACAACAGAGTCACTAACTCCTGCCCCGTGGACGTGCGGCCACGTCAGGCAAAGAACTTTATTCCAGTGCCCTTTCCCTCCTATCTGGGGATTGGCCCATGCCCTGGTACACTTTGGAGTGGGGGCATAATGTTTAGCTACATATTTACAGACATTTCCTTTTCCTGGCTCCTCCAACTCTTGCACTACGAAAGCACTGGCATAACTCAAGCGCTCCCTTAATCTTTTATCCAATAAACTACCACCCTTTTCAGAGCTCTTTTTGGTGACCACATGTGGAGCACCTCCATGGGCAGCTATGTCCTGATTCACAGTGTTTAACAAAGATTTATTGGAAGTATCCGCGCTCCTGGGAAAGGCTGGAGTGCTGATGCCTTCCCCAGCAAAGGGATGGGTGCTGCGAGGTGCCCTCAGGACATGCCGGTTCCCACACGCTGCTGCCTCTCCTGGAGGTATTTTCTCTGCTCCTGGACAGCTTGTTCCAGCAAGGGCAGGTTCATCCCCTCCACGCAGGTCAATATTCGGGCCTTCACCACAGGACCCTCACCTGGGGATGTGAACAGGTAGGTTTTGTAGGAAAGGAAACAGATGCAGCAGCAACCAGGAGAGCAGAGGTTCCCTCTGGCAGCACCGAGGAGGCTCGGGGCTACCTGCAGCCACCAGCTCAGACCTGCCCTGCGTGCTCAACGGTGGCATGAGCCACGCACCAGGGGCCAAACCTTGGTGACAGAGCTGGTGTCTCAGCTGGTTCTCCTTCCTTGTCTGCAAAACAGGGCCAGCTCACTCGTGGGCCAAGGTGGCCAAAATCACCTGCCTTTCCAAAGGAATTTGGCGGCTAGGCAGGTGATTCAGCAGCCACCATGTGAGCATGGCTTCCTGTGGTGACCGAGACCTTCAGCAGCCCCAGCATGACTGCTTGTTATCAGGGTGGCCGAGGTGATGCCAGGGTTTGCTTCACCCTGCTGCAGCGCAGCCTTGACCTGCTCCCGGCGTGAACCACCATAGAGCCAAGAAACGCTCAGGGCAGCCCTGGACAGGCCAGCGTGGGGCCTGGCGTGAGGGCACGCGCCTGCATTCCTCTCGCTCCGGCCTGGGGCTGTAATTAGCACCCCGTGAGCATCCGAGGACCAGCAGAACTGGCTTGCTATGAGGTGCTGCTGCAGTCAGAGGGGTTGGAGCAAAGCAATGGGGTCTAGTGGCAGTAAAGCACAGTACCAGGTTCATGAGCTCAGCCACGGTGCCAGGCACTCCTCACTTTTAATGAAAATCCCCAGGTTGTCCCCAAGGTAAGTGTAAGGTGGCTCATATAATGCTTTATCATCAGTGGGGAGAGAGGGGCTGCTCCTGCCCTGCATCACCCTCGCCTGTGGCTGCAGCAGCCATGGACCGTGCCTTATCCCACGGCTGTTTTGGGTGGAAAGGGAGACTCCACAGCAGTGCTCACTGGTCCAAGCCACCTTTCCTCAGGCAGCCAGGCAATTCCAAGCTTGGCTAAAAGCAGAGCCAACGTTTACCTTCCCTGTGCTCGGCCTCCCCCAGAACCATGTAGAGAGAGCCCAGCTGGGCTTGGAAGGGCTCCACGAAGCTGGTGTCGACGCACACCCGGTGCTGGGCCGTGCGGTGCCAAGTGGTGAGAACGGCTTCAGAGCGGGCCAGGGTCGTAGCTGCTTAACCTGGGAGAGGTGGGTTTGGATGCTCCACACTGCAGACACAGCGGAGCTGCAGTGATCACAAATGAAGCAGGGAAGGGACCAGCCAGCAAAGGGGTGGCCTGGCAGCTGGGGAGGCTGTGTTACCATTCCCACCTGCCAAATGTCCTCAGTGCCTCTCCATCTGTGACTGAGCCGTTGATCTCCCATGGGAAGTAATAGACAGCAGCATTTGGCAACATCTTGCTGAACCAGTGCTGAGAAGGCAAAAGAGAGGAGTTCCCCACCATGTTTCCATGCTCTAATCCCCATCTTTCTCTCTGATTTCTTGGCCCAGTGAGGCCACCCAAGTCTGCGTGCACCAGCTCTGGGGAATGGGGCAAGTGAAGCCACTGCAGCAACTCCCAGTGTGGCTTAGGCAGCAGCAAGGCCAAACGGGCCTGCAACCAGTGTGGTGCCCCTCGGCCACCCAATGCATTGCTCAGAGGGGAGGCAGCCCTGCAAAAGTCCTCCCGCCATCTCACTGCCATGGAGGCTCCCGAAACCAGGGCAATCCCAGCTCAGCCCCGTGTGCATGCAGGAAACCGGGGCACTCGCTTCCCTGTTGCCCCATGCAGGGCTTTGCCCGGTTGTGAAAGGCAGCTGGCACGGTGCCATCCCGCTGTGCCCAGGCTCTGTGCACGCTGCGCCAGCCTCACCTGCGTCTTCAGCTCTGCACCTCTGCAGCAGGCTCACACGTGCTTGGCATCACTCAGGTTTTGCTCCTGAGCTGTGCTGTGCAACAAGACAGGGATCTGCCAGGAACGCAAGATGTTAAATGCCCATTTAATGCACTTTCTCACATATATACCCAAGCCCAAACACATATTTAAAGCCCGCACAACCCCACATGCAGCATGCTACGCACATGTTAAGTGCAGGCCTGGCCTCAAACACAGCACGCTCCATGCACTATTTGGTGTGCTCCTCTATTACACCCCCAGCCCCACATGCAGCACATTGCAGGCCGTTGCAGTGCACAATTGCATGCACGCCAGCATGCAATGCCAGCATGCAAATGCCAACGTTACGCAGCACTGCGCACCCCCGCGTGCACGCCCAGCCCCAGCGCGCGCGCGAATGCAGTGCAGGGTGCAATGCACGCGCAGACAGCGCTGCAGCGCGCGCACCCTGTGCAATGCGCAGCCACCCCCACGCAGCGCCCTATAACGCCTATAGCCCGATACCCCCTATAGCTCGATACCCCCCTATAGTCCGACCCCCCCCTATAGCTCGATACCCCCCTATAGTCCGACCCCCCCCTATAGCTCGATACCCCCCTATAGTCCGACCCCCCCCTATAGCTCGATACCCCCCTATAGTCCGACCCCCCCCTATAGCTCGATACCCCCCTATAGTCCGACCCCCCCCTATAGCTCGATACCCCCCTATAGTCCGACCCCCCCCTATAGCTCGATACCCCCCTATAGTCCGACCCCCCCCTATAGCTCGATACCCCCCTATAGTCCGACCCCCCCCTATAGCTCGATACCCCCCTATAGTCCGACCCCCCCCTATAGCTCGATACCCCCCTATAGTCCGACCCCCCCCTATAGCTCGATACCCCCCTATAGTCCGACCCCCCCCTATAGCTCGATACCCCCCTATAGTCCGACCCCCCCCTATAGCTCGATACCCCCCTATAGTCCGACCCCCCCCTATAGCTCGATACCCCCCTATAGTCCGACCCCCCCCTATAGCTCGATACCCCCCTATAGTCCGACCCCCCCCTATAGCTCGATACCCCCCTATAGTCCGACTCCCCCCTATAGCCCGATACTCCATATAATCCGACAGCACCCTATAGCCCGACACTCCCCTATAGTTCGATACTCCCCTATAGCCCGATAACCCCTATAGCCCGATACTCCATATAATCCGACACCCCCCTATAGCCTGATAACCCCTATAGCTCGATACTCCCATATAATCTGACACCCCCCTATAGCCCGACACTCCCCTATAGCTCGATACTCCCCTATAGCCCAATACTCCCCTATAGCCCGATAACCCCTATAGCTCGATACTCCATATAGTCCGACACTCCCCTATAGCTCGATACTCCCCTATAACCCGACATCCCCTATAACCCGACATCCCCTATAACCCGACATCCTCTATAGCCCAATACCCCCGGCCCGTGGCGTACGCGGGGCCCGCGCGGTCACGTGGGAAGGGGCGGTCACGTGGGGCGGGGCACGTGGCGGGGGGGGGGGGG